GAATTGGATAATCATTTTGGGGGCTCATCCTGGGGAAAGACTAACTCTCCTCACAGAAGTTGTTTAATTGCCTTTAGTTCTTTATCTAGGGGTGGGACCCTGTGAGATTAGCCCCTATATGACAGAATGTCCATTGGTGTTGTCACGATTTCAGTCCTGTTTAGGAAACCATATTGTTGAGGTCTCGTGGGTACAGATTTCCTGTCAGCTCTAAAACACATAATCTCATGGATGGCCTTCTGGTCTATCAATTCTTAGACTTTTTCGACGTTTTCTGTGATGTCCCCTGAGCCTTAAGTGCAGGAGCTGTCTTGTAGATATATTCATTGTGTCTGGACACACCACAATAAGTTCTTTGTATTTTTACTGGTTGTGGTGTTTGTAAGGGTTTCTATCTTCTGCAAGAGAAGTTGCTTTGTGAGGGCTGAGAGTTAAGGATAAATACTTCCCTTCTGTTCTACTCAAGTACCCCAATTTTATGGAAAGTGAAGGGGAGATAGAGACATTTGTTAGAAACATTTTTGTGGAGGGAGTGGGATACAGCTGGGATACAAAGTTAATAAACTGTAACTAATATTAAAAAATAAAAAAATTTAAAAAAAGAAGTATTTTTGTCTTGTCTCTAGAAAACAAATCTTTCTTGAGTTGAAAAAACACAGTTTATCTCTGGTGATCTATGAAGTTGTCATTTATGAACTTTTAATTATGTTGACAAATAAAATATCAAGCTTCTGCCTTTCTTTTAAGAAAATCTGCATCTTTCTCTTCTAGAACATCTTGATGCTCAATTTGTCAAAATATTCTGATCCTGTGAACCCTAGTTTGCTATTTCTTATGTATAATGCTTTCGTTTTCTTTGTTTTTGAGACTGGGTTACATTAATTGAACCAGAGGGACTCCAGATTAGACTTGATGTCCTCCAGCCTCAGCCTTCTGGTGCTAAGATAAATGGTACATGACACCATGTTTGGTTATATTAGGGTTTTTGAAACGTTATCTTAGTAACTGATCTTAATCTCCCACACCATACACAAGTCATTTCAAAATGGACGGTTTTGTGCACACCACTGACAGGAAAGTCATCATCAGTCTGACCTTGCTGCGAACCCTGGCAAGAGAAGCCCAGTAATGCAATAGCCGCATGGATGCTATGGAAGATACAAACCTCTTTACGATTGGATTTAAAGTCTACTCCACAAGACAGAACACATGACTGGAAATGTTAACAGGGTCCCAAATCCACTGCCCGTTAAGCCATAGGCAGTGGTGATATACTACTATATCTGCTAAAAGGACATAGTAATAAACGTCTCCTAAGATCTTACCTTTTATATGCACAGAGCAATGCATCTCTCAACCCTCATCGGGGAAGCTCATCAGAGACCCACTGGTCGACATGCAGGGAGGAGCCTTGCATGGTGGGGCAGGCCTTTAATCCCAGCAGTTGCGAGGCAGAGGTAGGTGGATCTCTATGAGTTTGAGGCCAGCCTCGTCTACAGAGCAAGTTTCAGGACAGCCAGGGCTACCTAAGTGAGACCCTGTCTCAAAAACAAAACAACAAAACAAAAAACAAAGGAGCATGGAGATTCTATCTCAGAGGCTTCCTCGAGGAAACAAAAGCTGACAAGGATGTGAGGCATGAGGCGCCATCAACATTACTAGTGGAAATGTAAGCTAGTGGCTCCTATGGAAATCTGCATGCCCATTAAAACTAGAACTGCCACATGCTCAGGCTAACTGCTCTACCAACTCCCTTTCACCCAAATGATGTTTGGTTCTGTTTCATTTCAAAGAAACACCTTAAAAATGATGACACGATGAGAGGCAGTGGAGTTCAGATCCTGAGCCCCTGGGAAGCTAGAATCTGTGTCTGGGACATTCAGACTGTTTCGCTTGTGTCAGCATGCAGTGCCATATTCATCAGGAAGGCTCTATCTTGTCTTCATAGCAGCGGGACACAGGGGTACATACACTAGCATCTTAAGTGACTCCATCCTCTAAAATAACTGGTAAATTTGTATTAAATTTCTCTTCACACATGTTATAAAGCCCACAATTCTCTCTCTCTCTCTTGTGTGAATGACATAAACTCAATAATTTCATTAGAAGTTTTCAGCTCCTTGTGAAGAGAGTCAAGTTTAAAAATAGGAATGAATTTGTACCAACCCCAAATGAAATTATTTATTTATTATTTATTTATTTATTTTTGTGTTTATGGTACACACATGTACACATGCACAGTGTCCTCCTCTATGGCTCCTTCCTGTCTTTTCTTAAGACAACATATCTCATGGAACAATGGATGTGGCATCTTTTCAACCATGCTGGTGGCCAGCAAGTCCTAGCACAATCCTTCTGTCTCCGCCCACCACCCTACTCCAGCACTGAAGTTCAGCTGTCCGCTGCCATGACATTTTATACGTGGTGCTGAGGATGTGAGAACACGTCCTTGAGAAGCATTTCTTCCCAGCCTTTTGACAAACCCTTTGAAATTTAACCCTGGATTCCCCGGGTACAGCGGAACCGGTGGCCCGTGCTTGATATATCTGAGATGGTATCTGGGAGGTGGGGCTTGCACATGTACATTCACTCTCATAAAGGTCAGTTTTCCCGCATTACATTTCTACTGTGAAATTGTGCATATGTACCTTATAGTTATTGTTAGTGTTGCTTTTAGCTTACTGAAAAAAAAATGTTATTGTTTAAGATCTGAGTGTGATGGGACACACCTATAAGCCCAGCACTCAGGGAGTAGAGACGGGAGCATCGTAGATTAAACCAGTTTGGGCTTCATTCTGGGCATAGAGAGAGCATGTGTCAAAAAACCCAAATGCCCAAACCAGACTGAAAGAGCAACTCCCAAAACGTCAACCTGAACAGCTTATACAAATTTGATGATCACAAAAGTGGACACCACATTTAAACGAGTATACAGTACCAACATCGCATGATTAAGATTAATTCATGAATGAGATGATTTTGAATTAACCCTTCCAAGAACACACGCACTTACTTTTCTACTTACTTGACAGAGAAGCCACAGCATATCTCATACTTTGCTTGCTAGTCCTGCAAATGCACAGGCACTTCTGCCACCGAGGTGCCCCCGTGCTCCTCTCTCGGAAACCCACATTAAGAAGTTGCTTGAATGTGCCCTTCTCACCTAGGCAGACACATAGCAATCTGTCTAAAATCATACCTACCCAACCCCTAGCACTTTCTGTATCATTTCCCAGCTCTCTCTAGAAACATCCCACATGAACCTTGTGCCCGTTATTTACTCAATAGCTTACCAAATAATGCGATTGTGATATAACCAAACGCTTCTCAGATGACTTAGCTGTTTCCATCCCTTCCATAAGCATGTGCTGCTAAGAGTATGCCTGGCTAATGTTATCTGTTTCATTGATTTCCTATTTCCCAAACCGTACACGGCTTGTATTATCCCACTCAGTAGGGCCATGTCAGGGTTTTACCTTCGAGAGGGAAGCCTGCATTATTGGCTCTTTTGATGAGTGTATTTGGCTCCATTTTGTTGCGTATTATGAACTTTAACTATGTGTGAGTGCCTGGCTGCTTCTTCTTCTTCCTCCTGTCATTAGATGTAACAACTTACACATGTTGGCCTTTGATGTTCTGGGCACAGAACAGACTCTTTTGCCCATGGTCACCTGTCTTGAAATTTCTTGTACTTGTTATATAATTTTTACAAAACCAAACAGTAAACGTCTGTACTAGGAAATGTTAATATATTTTAATGTATATATTCGTAATGCTTTGTTCACTGAAATCCATTGAAAACGGATGACATCTATAACATTTGCTTATACTTTATGTCATATAAATTATTTCCTGCCTGAATAATTATGAATCCACGATGAGCCTTATACATTCAAATAGTAATTGTCATAATTAAAGAAACTATTTTTGCTACTCAAGTTAAATCTGTCTTTGGAGGCCTGTCAAGATGGCCGTTTTGCCTTTTACCATTTGTAAAAATTATGTCTTTTGAACAGAATCTCACACTTCCTGTTTTTTCTTCTGGTTTTGTTGCTTTTTTTCCCTTTGACAAACTTGTTGTTGGTCTTCTAGAAAAATGTTTAGCCAACATTTTTAGCCAACAGCCACATCACTTCACCAACTTTGAAACAAGACTATTATACAGCAAGAACTATGACCTAACCTCCTCCAAGCCTCCAATGACTCTAAGGAAGAATTCAGGAAAGGTGTTCTGTGCTATAAAATAAGACTCCAAGAAACATTTCTAAGCTGCTAAGTATTCATGTTAGTAGACTTTAACCACGAGAGCAGTGTCATAGATGTATGGTGGACATTTATTCTCAAGGTTATGTTTAGGCCAGATGTACAAGATCAACAAATTCCTTTGGGGTAAGAGCCCTTCTCCAAGCTTGGACAAGGCTGCTCTCTCACACTATCCCAGAATTCTAGAGAGGGTTGAGGAAAGAAGGGAAAGGAAAAGAGAGAGGGAAGAGGAGTGAAGAGAGTAGGGAAATGAGGGAGGAGAGAAGGGAAGAGGGAGCCACCTCAAGATCTGCATCAAAAACCCGTGTCTTTCCAGCTTCAAGATTCAGATCAAAGGCGTGTTGTCCTCCTGCCCCCAGGTCCTGATCACAGGTGTGCCCTCCATTTCTTAACTGTAGCTCATTCCAGGTATAGCCAGGCTGACAACCAAGAATAGCCAACACAAGTAGTGAAAACACATTGAGAAATCCTACATGACACACTTCTGGAAGTTCCTACTGACTGTTTTGGGGTTGCTTTCTCAATTTCCTTTTTTCTTTGTTCCATCTGTCAGAGTACACTAGAGGAAACCACATGTTTGAAGATTTCTTCTTTTCACTTAGCTCTCTTATACTGGACACTTGCTGATCTTACTAGAATAGGTCAGAGGTATTTATGTCCAATCTTAAATGTTTCTGAGCATACACTTGTGGTGGAAATATACACTCTGGGAAAGAAGTAGAAGAGGCTCCGGAATCTCCTGACACACATAATGAAGCTGGAAGAACCTCAAATAAAATGTGAGTGTCTCTCTCTCTTTCTTTCTCTCTCTCTCTGTCTTCTCTCCCTCCCCCTCTCCCTGCTCCTTCTATGCCTCCTTTTATCTTTCTCATCTCCTTCTTTTCCTCTTCCTCCTCTTCCTCCTCTCCTCATTCTTCTGTGTACCCTAGGTTGGCATCAAACTGGACCTTCTTGCCTCAAACTTCTGCAGGCTGAGACAGTAGGTGATACGCAATCATGCTCAGCCCTTTCACATTTAACTAGTTGAAGTATTTATGGCTACGACTTTAAAATGTGAACTGATGGCAGTGCAAAGATTTAAGATGATAGGGATGAGAACAAATGAGGATGGCATTGGCAAAGAGAAGGGACATAGCTAAATCTTAATAAGTTGCATAACAGATGCCAAAGCCAGATAGAACCCAGAGAAGAGATGCAGTATATAAAAAAGAAACTATATAAAAAGAAAAGGAGAATTAAATACTTTGGGAGATTATTTTGAAGGGCAAGGAAAGAAAGATGATAGAGAACACACAGACATGGGCTTATGATATGTCAGAGGCTCTATCTGGTTTTCTGATTGATTTAAAGAGTGCTACTGGATTTTCACAGTGAGACCATTGAATAATACTTTGTTATATTATTATATTATATTAAATATAAGCAAGATACAGGTGCATCTTCTGGACATGACCTGGCCATTGCAACCATGAACTCATGAACAAGATCAGTCAGCATTCCAGCAGACGGCGCTTAATGGACTCCGTCAATTACAAAAACAAAACAAAACAAAACAAAACAGAGAGAACATAAAAGGGGAATTGGAAATGTGTTGGGGATGCCTATGGATGGGAGAAGGAGCGCGAAATGGGAGAGAATATAAGGATGGATATAATCAAGATACATTGCTTAGATTATGAAATTATCAAAAAATAGATAAAAGATGTTCTAGTAATAAAAAGAAATATATAACAAAAAATGTTAAAACACGCTTAAAATTTAACTCTTGTTTAATCTCATCAGTCTGTTACAAATAACTTCACCAGGACCACGCTGTACTGTGGTTCTGGAAAACCTGATTGTTTTTTTTAGTTTTTTTGTGTGTGGAGTTTGGGGTTTTTTTTGTTTGTTTTGTTTTTGTTTTTGTTTTTTGTTTTTATTTTGTACTGCATGCTTTCAATATGGTTTTTGGATAGAAATGAAAATTCTTTCCACAATACTTTAGTTCATAGTTCCCACATGGAACATATTGGCATTTGTTTGATGATCATTTATAACTTCAGCAGATTAAATTTACTGCTCATTGTTTTGCTCAGTTTTTGAAGTGTTTTTTGAAATTCTTTATGTGTGCTCAATAGTGATATATAACAAGAGCTTTTTTGTGAGTATTTTACATTACTAATGTTATATAGAAGCTTTAATTTTTATGCCTTTATGTTCAATTTATAAAAACTTTTCTTTATAAAAACAAGTATATATATATATATATATATATATATATTTGTCATTATTTATTAGGAGGCGCTAAGATTGGTTTACTCACAGAAAATATTTAAGTCTCCTGCACTCCTAAAACACTTTTTGTACTCTCATTTGGTCTGCTCCTTGATAATCTTGGCTTTCCTCATCTTACAGCAGAAAGGAGACTAACCTATTTTTCTCTTTATCTTAGCAAAAGCTGTCCAGCATCCCCAGCTGATCCCTTGGGTTTTCGCTGTTGTTTTCATCTCACTCCTCAGTGCTTGCTTTATCACAAGTTGTTTCGGTAAGCCACTGGCCAAAGTGAAGGTCATTTTGAATTATCATCACCAAGAATTTCCAACTTTCCCAACACCTCGCTTTTCCTCAGGGCACCCACGTACAATGCATTCACTGTCTTAGGCCTACCATCAGAGCTGTGCACTTGATTTTCTAATCTTAATGGGACTGCTCTGTTTGCTTCCAAACCAATGAACTTTGCTGGGGTACAACTGACATATTTTAAAGGTTCTGAGCATTAAATGTGTTCACCTCAAGGTTGGGGATAAATATATATCCATGAAGTTATCAGTACCGTTAATGTTATAGAAAACCTTGTTCTTTCCGACATCAAGCTGCAAGGCAAGGTTGTTATGACAGAATTAGTATGGTGTAGGCCTAAGACAAATAGGCTTGGGGACACAATAAGCAGTGGCACTATAGACTTTGAATATGTGATTACTTATCTGAAAGTAAGGGGGATATTGCAGAGTTATGGAGAAAGAAGAGTTCTGTTCAATTAATGTTGTAGGCTTCATTGAATATATTTAATAAGTGAAACTGAGTTCTTGCATCATATCATGTAGAAACAACAGCCCGCTATAGTGAAAACAGAATATTTATACTGTATTAATATGTGAAATGAATGTTAATCTGCCAAAAAAACTGGAAGCCAACAATATAATTAAGAGTGGACGGTCTTGGTAGACACTCTGGAAAATAAAAACAGCAAACAAACACCGAGTCAACCTCTGTCGGGGAAGTAAGTCTGCAATTCTCAATGAGTCAGCGCTGCAGGAACACCAGGATGGCAGCGAGTGATGACGAAGGTGTAGGAAACTGGGCCTGTGTTGCTTACCGTCAGGAGGGCGCCCAGCGTAGCAAACCTGTCTGGAAAGCTTTCCCAACCCCGTTTACCACGTATGTTCACTAACACCAGTAATTCCACTTCCAGGCACACACCTTACAGAAATGGGCGCTTACTCTCGTTAGGATGCAAGGTTAAAGATGCTCAGAGCAACACAGCTCACAACAGCCAAACTCTCGAGGCGATGAAAAGGGCTAGGAGCCAAAGAGATCAGAGCGCTTCACTCCCTGAAGACGATAGTGATGAAAACGGATGAACTCTAACTGTGTGCAGCGGTGCTGGACTTAAGGATGCAGGCCATCTGAGTCTACCCGTACAAAATTCTAACGAAGGTCCTTCTGATCTGTATGGTCCCAGGCTGAAACTGTGAAGCAAAGCCCGGGTTGAAGACTCTAAAAGCCACGAAATGGTTAACTGCAAAGGAAGAGCGGGTTGTGTTTTGACGTGATGGCTACCTTGGGCGTTGAAAATACTCTTTTTTTTTTTTTTAACTTGGCAGTCTTTGCCAGGAGTGTTCAAATACACTAATTCACTAGCCTGTGCATTTTTATTTTTGCTTTTTAATATTTGATTATCTTTCAAAGTAAAGACATCATTAAATTTGCTCGTAAAACTTTGTGGAACTAGCCCAGTGTTTACCAAAATCCTCGCTCATATGCAAATTCTGATGGCAGAAACTGAAAACAGCGTTGTACCTAAAAGATTCCAAAAAAAGTTCCGATCTAAATCACAAAATGGACAACACAATAAAATATCAGCTTTTTACAGTTGCCTTCAGTGAATTTACCTGGGATCATGAACTAGCATAGGAAAGAAAGAGAGTGTGGGAGCTTTAACTGTGAAGGAAAAAGAGTGGTGGGGAGATCAGCCCGTTTTTCTAAATCAGTGAAATAAAAATAACTGCTTTTCCTGCCTGACAGTGACTCATCGCTACTCTTTACATGGGAAGAGAGGAGGAGGGACGAAGTTATATGACTACCACACAAGGCTAACGTGCATCCGGGAGGAGCCGGAGGCGGGAGCTACAGGTAGCCGAGGAAACCTTTTTATTATTTGCTTCCCTCGAGCCTTTCAAGAGCACGTGTAGTGAATCAGGAAGGTACACAGCATGAGAACTGGCTGCAAGAATGGATATCAGCCATTTGGGACAGAGTCACCGCTCATGACTGCAGTCAATGGTGCAACACATTAGTCATTTATGTTTGTGGTGCTGGGGATTGAATGCAGGGCCTTGTGCATGCTAGGCAATTGTTTCACATCAAGAGAATTTGTTTTTTGTTTGTTCGTTCGTTGAGATAGGGTCTCCCTGCGTAGCCCAGGCTGGCCTGGAACCAGGAACCTTCTTGCCTCTGTCTCCTAAGAGCTTAGGTTACAGGCCAGCGGATTAGGGGTATTTTTAACATCTAAAATATAACAAGAACTTCATTCATTTTTTTTTTCCTTCACCCAAGTATACCATGAGTACAGTTTCTTCTCAATTTATATAATTTTGCTGAGATGCCTACTTCTTTATATTCTGGAATCTATAAGATTAAGTAGAATTAAGAAATGGTTGAGTTTTACATAGTCTTTGCTTTTCTTACAAATTCAATATTCTGCAAAAGGCTTTGTTATAAGAACATTTTGCTTAATTTTAACTTAAGCCTCCAATCTCTTAATTCTTTTCTTTCTTTGCTAAATAACAAACTCAGGATTTTTTACATTCTAGGAAAGTGTTTTACCATTGAGCCACACTGTTAGCTAGCTCTGGAAACTGTTTAATACGAAAGCAAATACGTGCAGGGACACGGAATAACGATAACATCTTCTAAAGTAACACTCATAGCAAGTTAGTTATGCAACTGTCACAAATGAAATGCTCCTTGGTAACTAACATCTGTTTCATTTCTCACCTGAGGAGGTACCTGGACCTGCTGCCCTGTCAGCTGGAGAGCCTTCCAGTCTAACTGTTACCTTCCTCTTAATGACAACCAGACCTGGCATGAGAGCGAGCGGAACTGCTCAGGGATGGGCGGTCATCTGGCGACCATCAACATGGAAGCAGAACAGGTATGCATTGGCTCAGCCCATTCTGAGACTCTGGTTTCATTCTGTTGGTGTGACAAGCACCACACCAGAAGCAACTTCAAAGGTGGAAGGGTTTGTTTTCAGCTTACGGCTTGCAGTCTATTGTTGAGGGAACTCACGCAGGAACTTGAAACTGAATCCGAGGAGGAACACTGCTTTCTGGCCCACTCAAAGGCTCATACTTAGCTTAGTTTCTTTTCAGCCCAGGGAATGGTGCTGCCTGCAGTGGACTGGGCCCTCCTTCGTCAGTTAACGATACACACAATTCCCCAGAGACATGCTCACAAGCCAATCTGACTTGAATATCCTTCAGCTGAGGTTCTCTTCTCAGGTAATTCTAGGCTGTGTCAAGTAGACAGTTAAAGTTAGCCAGGATCACCCGTTACTCTCTCGCTTTACATCTCTTCATAGAGAAGAAATTTCTTGTCTATGTATTTTTCCTTTGTCATTTCCATCAGCCTAGGAAGTCTTTTCTTCCTCTATCACTCCCTTTCATTTTCCCTTCCCTTCCCTTCCCTTCCCTTCTCTTTCCTTCCCTTTTCTTCCCTTCCCTTTCCATCTCTTTGATTTTCAACTAATTGATTTTCCTAATAACAAAGTCCAATATACATTATAGCATACTTTACCCTTTATCTGATAATAGAAAACATTATACACATGAGAAATTATATGGTAAATGTTTATTCTTTCTTCTTTTTTTTTTTTTTAAAAAAATGAAAATAGGTTCTTCCCAACCACAATTTCCACTCTTCCTAGCTCCTTCCCGCTTTCCCTCTCCCACCCCCTCCATTTCCTCCTCAGACAAGAGCAAGTCACCAAGAAATGACACCCGAATAGGACAAAAAAAAAAAAAAAAGATACAGTAAGAGGCAAAAGCCCTCATATTGAGGCCGATCACGGCAACTCAATAGAAGGAAAAGAGTCTCAAACTCAGGCAAAAGAGTCAGAGGCCCATCCACTCCCACTGTTAGGAGTCGCACAAGAGCACCAAGCTAACAGCCGTAGCATATACAAGAAGGACCTGGTGCAACCCTGTACATTGGTAGAAATGTAAGTACTGTTAGGAAATTGGTCAGTTTTCTCTATGTGGCCAACTTCTGGTCTTTCTAGATGTTAACAATGTGTCATTTCTCCCAGAAACCCATTCTTTCCTACTCTGTGCTCCCTAGTCTATGAGGTGGGCTCTACTAAGGCTCTCTGAGCATGGTGGGGTGTCAGCATTTACCCCAGTGAACTGCAGCTCTTCCAATGACTCCTGCCTGATGGAAGGCTCGAGTCAACTCTCTTTAATTTTATATTTCCAGTCCCTGCACAAAGCCAGGCATAGAGTAAGCCTTTTGCATATATAACTACATAAGTGGTTAATCAGGACTGAAATGCCATCTTATAAGTGGAAAATAGTTCTAACATGTGGTACTAATTCTACAAATAATAATAATAATATTTAAATGTAAATTCAATTTGTTAAGATCTGGAATTCCTCTTTTTGTGTGATATATTTTCATATATGTGTTCTACCCCAGCTGCTGCTTCTTCTCCTCCTTCTCGCTCTCCCTCTCTCTCTTCTCCTCCTCCTCCTTCTTCTTCTTAGGTCAACAGAATATTTCCTTAGGGATTCTGTCTCCTTGACTCTGCCATTGATAAGTTTTCCAACTCTTCAAATGAAATAGAATTGAATGAAATACAGAAAAGTTTTTTTTTTCTTTTATTGAAAATTGATTCTTTCCTCATACAATATATCATAATTACAATTTCCCCTCCCTCTACTCCTTCCAGTTCCTCCTACCTCCCCTCCCTTCCAGATCCATTCCTTTTCTGTATCTTATCAGAAAAGAACAGTCTTCTAAGAGATAACAACCCAACATGACAAAATAAAATATAATATGACAAGGCAAAACCTATCATATCAAAGTTGTACATGGCAACCCAAGAGGAGAAAAAAGACTTCCAAGAGCAAGAAAGAGAGTCAGAGACCCACTCCTTCTCATAGCCAGGAGTCCAACAAAAACACTAAGCTAATAGTTAAAATATATACACAGAAGACCTGGTATAGATCTATGTAGATCCTGTGCTGGTTAAGTCAGTCTCTGTGAGCTCATATGCACCCTTGCAAATACCATCTCACTTAATCTTTACATTGATTCTATGAAGCAGTGGAATTGTCAGAAAACTCAGGGTTTGGAGAAGTTAAAGCTCCCCTTATCACACTAAGCAGATTCGAAGACAGACTTGTCTGATACCATGATGTTTACATTTAACCTGTGATCTCATTGACCTCTTCCTCCTTATCAGCCTAGTGGGCATTATCCAAGTGCATTTACCAAAAAAAAAAAATGTGTATTTTGTATGCAGAACTTTGTGACTCAGTTTTTGGATCGACGATTCTCCTATTTCCTGGGACTTACCAATGAGAACATGGAGGGTCAGTGGCAGTGGGTGGACAAGACGCCATTTAACCCACACATGGTGTGAGTATATTGGTTAGGGCTAGGGGTATTTATAGGCAAAAGTGAAAAGAAGGTGGCAAGGAGAACTCTTAAAGTAGGAGAAACCTATGTAAATGCTTATTCAACAGCACTTATTCAACAGTGATCACTACGTCCTGTGTTCTCACTGCAGAATAACCCTATGAGTTCAGCAAGATGTTCAGTATTCTTGATTGTTCAATGTTGATTAAAGAACGGAAAAAGCATGAGAGTAATGTGAAAAGGGATTTCTTAAGATTATCATGTAGATAAACAATGTTATAGGAGCCATAATTATTTTTGAGTTTTTAACCTGTTAATTTTGTTCCTTGAAACCATAATTGCATAATATAAAGAGAACATAAAACTACAGGTACAAGCTAAGTTTTTCTAGTGTCATGTTAAGAAAATAAAAAGGAGTCTGACATAGTGGCACACACATATAATCTTTGTGTTTATGAGCTGGACTCGGTAGGGGTGATAGTTTGAGGCAATGTGGGCTACACAGGGAGTTCTAGAGAGGCCTTAGATACATAGCAAGACTGTGTTTCAAAGAGAAAAACAACAGAACAAATAAACACACACACATGCATAGACACACACACACAAAGCAAGGAAAAGGAAAAACTGGTGAACTTTATGATAATATAATAATTATCAATTATTAACACAGTTAAATAACACAGTATATCCGTGTGCACTTAACACTTAAAGGACACCTCAGTGTGGAGAAACAATATTTCTTTCCCTTTTACAATTAGTTCTTTTCTTTGAGAGTCATACAATGTGTTTTGTTCATATTTGCTTCACCCTCCCCACTCAACTTTGTGTCAGTTTTTGTTTTTGTTTTTTTTTACCCATTTTGTGTTGCACAAGGTGTGTGCATTCGTGTGTGCAGCCGCCACATCTGGAAGACACTAGTTTTTTGTAGTCAACCATCTCCTCCAGCTCTAACACTTTTTCCACCAAGATCCCTGAACCTCAGTAGGAAGGGATGTGAGGCAGACGTCCCATTTAGGGCCAAGCATTCTATAATCTCTTGTTACTTGCACCTTGGCAGTTGTGGGTCTGGATGCTAATTTTTATCTACCGCAAACAGAACCTTCCGTGACGAGGACGGTAGGACGCACTAACCTATGGGTATAATGATGATTCATTAGGAGATGGCTTAGGCTGTGTCCATGTAGCAGGCTAATGGTGTAGGCTCTCCCCTGGAACCTAGGAACTATACCACAAGTTCTTGAGCTGGCAACGGCCAGACACAGGTTTCATTCTTTGGTGTAGGACTTAAATCCAATAAGAAAGTTCTTTATCCCTTTTGTGTTCATGTCACTACAGTACCACTTGCGAGGTCTTGCCAGACAGTTATTTTTATTATAGCTTGCCAGGTTCACAGCTAGGTAAGGCTGATGATTCCTTTTTTTCCCCAGGTAGCATTCACAGCACCTTCCAGCACTAGTCAGTAGGGATGAAGCCAAGTAGTACCAGCTTTTTTTTTTTTTTTTTTTTTTTTTTTTTTTTTTGTGACTCAAGTATGTTTCTGTCTTTAACAATAGGGTCATGCTGTCAAGTTCTGGAGGGTAACAAGTAATGTTGGTAATAAGCTGTAATATTTAGGGGTCTGTTGGACCTCTCTAGCTAACAAACCCAAAGGTAGTAACCCATTCCTGGCACTAGACTTTTTGTTAGCTCTAAGTATCTAAAAGGGGTAACATAGGACAACTTCATTTAAATCTATCTGTGCATCTACCTGTATCTGTCTGCTTGTCTTTCTGGACAAGCATTTTCACTCAGAATGGTTGTTTCCAGCACCATCCTGTAAACTTCATAATTTGTATTTTGTTAAAAACTGAATCGTAGTTCATTGTGTAAATATACCCCATTTTCACTATCAGTTCCTCAGCTCATGTACACCTAGACTACTGTGACTAGAGCAGCAATGAACATGGACTAACAGGAATTTAGATATGCAGAACTATGTAGTCTTTCAGATGTATGACCAAGTTGGATTATAGTAGTAGATCCGTTTCTAGATTGTTGAGGACACTTCACACGGATGTGCATAGTGGCTGTACCAGTTTGCACTCCCACCAGCAATGAGCACGTATTTCCCTTTCTCCGCATAAATGTCCCCACGCACCATCATTTGTTTGTTTGGATCTTAGGCATTCTGGCTGGGGCAAGATAAAAATCTCGCAGCCATTTTAACCTACATTGCCCTGATGGCAAAGAATGTCAGGCATCTTAAGGATGTTTCTCTGCCACTTGGATTTCATCTTTTGAGAGCTCTCAACTTAGTTCCAGTCCCCATTTCTTTTTCTGCTGTTTACCTTTTTTTCCCCCTTTCAGTTCTTCGTGTGTTCTAGGATACTTAACCCTCTGTCAGATATATAGCTAATAAACATCCTGTCTCATCCTGTAAGCTGCCTCTCCACTTAAATGGTGGTGTCCTTTGGTGTACAGAAGTTTTCTACTTCCGTGAAGTCCCATTTATTAGATACTGCTCTTAATGCCTTTCCCGCTGGAGTCCTGTTCATAAAGCCTTTCCTATGCCAATGAGTTCAAGGGCTTTCTCTACTCCCTCCTCTGTCAGATGCAGGGAGTCGGGTTTTATTTGAGGTCCTTGATTCATTTGGAGTTGAGTCTTGAGCAAGGTGAGAGGCGAGGACTCAGTTTCATTATTTTACATGTAGCTATCCAGTTTTGCCAGCACCGACTGGTGAAGATGCTGTTTTTTTCTCCCATCTTTATTGTTGGCTTCAGTGTAAACAGTCAGGTAGATGTAGGGATGGGGACTGATGTACGGGTCCTCAGTTCTATTCCATTGATCCAGGACTCTGTTTTTATACCAGTGACCCGCTGATATATATTTAGGTATAGCTCTGTAGTTGGATTTAAAATCTGGGTGTTTTTTTTTTTTCTCTTCAGGATTGTTTGGCTATCCTGGGGGCATTTGTGTCCCCATGTGAAATTTAAGTTTGCCTTTTCAGATTCTGTAAAAAATTGCCTTAGAATGTTGATGGGGTTGAGTCAAATCCCTAGATTATTTTAGTTGGGATGGCCATTTGCACAATATGACTTCTACCAACCCTTGAGCATGGGGGACCTTTTCATCTTCTGTCATTTTCTGTATCTCCTTTGTCAGTGTTTTAAAGTTTTTGTCGTTGGAGTCTTTCACTTGCTTGGTTAGACTTATTCTAAGTTCTTTGGATAAGGAAACAAAGGCTATTGTGAGTGGTAGTGTTTCCCTGATTTCTTTGTGTGCTTTGTCACAGTACATAGGAAGGCTACTGATTATTATGAGTTCAGGAGGTCATACCTCAGACGCTTGATAGCCACATATGCCTGGTGACCTCGTAGAGGAGGTCGCAGGTCTGTTCTGCCCCTGTGATGTAATCTCTATCTCACTGCTCTGCTTCTTTTCCAGGTTCTGGCAAGATGGTGAACCCAGCAGCATCATGAAAGAAAACTGTGTTGTCCTTGCTTATGATCAAGATAAATGGGCCTGGAATGACTTTCTTTGTCACCTTAAGGAGAGAAGGATTTGTAAGCTACCTGGAGCAACATTCATTTGGAAGCCCTTAAAGTGATCACTACGATCGAGATGGCTAAGATGAACCTATCAGACCCCAGGAAAGTGTCTCCGCATCATAGAAATAGAGAGCACACTGGTCGTAGGGCACTGTCAACCATGAGGATGTTCTTCATTATTTTTGCTTAAAATTAATACAATATACAGAGTGTGGTTTGTGCTCTCTCTGTGTGTACACATACACACATTTTTAAGATAGTGAGGTTTGGTGTGGTGTTTTGGTAGAAGAATAATCATCATTCTATGTACCAAAAGCCTGTCTATGTAGAAATCCAGTTGTCGATAAAATATGACGCCTCTGTGATTTTTGTAACTCTGTCTACAGTCTCTTTTCTGCTGCTAAGAATGATCAAACCCCAGAGCCTTTTTCATGCCTCAGACTCCCAGCCCTCCTGCCCAGCTGAAAACAGCAGCATCTGGATAAGGTCCATTCCCATTGGTAGGAAATCAACACATACATGTATAATTGTAAACAGCAAGCACATTAATAAGAACATGAAGTAACAGCAACGTACATGCACAGACATACGTAGGAGGCAGTCACCCACTCTCCCCACCAACCCTGTTTGAACAAGAAACTCACTCAGCTCAGTGGATCCCACACAGGGAGAAGGCATGAGAGTGGGTGAAGAACTGATTGGGAAGGATTCCAGCTGGAGAGGAAGAGGAGTGAGAGGAGGAAAGAGGGTGTGTGAAAATGACTAAAATCATGTAAGTGTGTGGAACTGTGAAACAATAAAAAAAAGAAAAGAGAAAAATGAAGTAAGTTTCTCTTTTAAAGTATCATATTCTAGCGCCTCTTTAGAGTAATTACAATCACCAAGGTTTCTTTTAAGATTTATTTTTTTCACTTTGGCAGAGTACAGGGAAAGAAGGGAGACAGAAAGAAAGGGAGAAAGAAAGACCTAGAGAGGACAGGAGCTCCACAAGGAGAGCAACAGAACCAAAATATTTGGGCCCACAGGTCTTTTCTGAGACTGATACTCCAACCAAGGACCATGCATAGAGATAATCTAGAACCCCTGCACAGATGTAGCCATAGAAGCTCAGTTTCCAAGTGGTTTCCCTAGTAAGGGGAACAGGGTCTGTCTCTGACATGAACTCAGTGGCTGGCTCTTTTGATCATCTTCCTCTGAAGGCAGGGGTGGGAGGTCAGCCTTATCAGGCCACAGAGGAAGACAATGCAGCCAGTCCTGAGGAGACCTGATAGACTAAGGTCAGATGGAAGGGGAGGAGGACCTCCCCTTATCAGTGGATTGTGGAAGGGGCATGGGAGGAGAGAAGAAACGAAGGTGGAGTTGGGAGGAGATGAGGGAGGGGGCTACAGCTGGGAAACAAAGTGAATAAATTGTAATACATTTAAAACTTTTTTAAAAGATCAGGCTATAGGCAAGCAAACCTGTAGGGCTTTTTCTTAAATAGTGATTGGTGGAGAAGGCCCAGCCCATAATGGGTGGGGCAGGTGGTCTTGAGTTCTATAAGAAAGCAGACTGAGCAAGTCATGAGGAGTAAGCCGGTAAGCAGCACCCCTCCATGGCCTCTGCATCAGCTCCTGCTTCCACGTTCCTACCCTTTTTGAACTTGTGCCCTGACTGCCTTCCATGATGAACTGTGACATGGAAGTATAGGCAAAATAAACCCTTTCCTCCCCCCCCAAAAAAAGATTTATTTTCTGTATTTTAAACATTTTTTTAGAATTCCATACATGAGTACTGAAATTACATCATTTCATCCTCCTCTCCCTGTTACAACTACTCCCATGTCCCCGCCCTCACAAATTCATGACCAATTCTTTAATTATTATGCTCATACATACATAAATATAGCCTGCTGGGTCAGTTTAGTGTTGCTTGCTTCTGTTCAGGGCTGGCTGCTTGAGACTGGATAAATTATCAGAGAGACAGTCCATAAAGGTTCACCCTCTCTTAGCAGCCATTAATTGGCCATAGCTCTTCGTCTAGGGCAGTGCTTCTCAAGCTCCCTAATGCTGCTAACCTTTAACACAGTTCCTCATGCTGCTGTGCTGACCCCCAGCCATAGAATTAATTTCCTTGCTACTTTGAAACTGTAGCTTTGCTGCTGTTATGAATTGTAATGTAAATATCCGATATGCAGGATATTTGATATGGGACCTCCATGAAAGGGTCATTCAACACCCAAAGGGGTTGGGACCCATAGCTTGAGTGCTGCTGATCTAAGAGTAGGCCCCTGTGAGAGTTCCCAATCCATATTGGCATACGTGGCAGTTCGAATGAGAATGGCCCCCATAGGCTCATGTATTTGAATACGTGGCCGGAAGCTGGTGAAATTGTTTGGGAAGTATTGAAAGGCGTGGCCCTATTGGAGAAGGCATGTGACTAGGAGTGGGCTTTGAGGTTTCAATAGCTCTCTCTCTCCTTCCGACTCATGCTTGTGGATCAGACGTAAGCTCTCAGCTATTGCTTCGGTGCCCTGTCTGCCTCCATGCTGCCAGCCTCCATGCCATGATGGCTACGGACACTAACCTCCTGGAACTGCTCTCTTTTTATAAATTTCCTTGGTCGTGGTGTGTTGTGATGGCAATAGAACAGCAGCTAAGACACCACCAGCTGTCACTGTGCAGGTCTGGTTTAGGTAATGACACTTTTGGTATTTCACGGATACAGCATTCCCATCTTATATAGAAGACACTATCCTGCGGCAGATGTCCCGGTCCTCTGGCTCTTACAACCTTTGACACCCCCTCTCCTGCAAAGTTCCCTAAATATTAAGTGTAGGGACGATGTGGTAGATATCTGTTCACCTGGCAGTCAGTTCTTCTCTGCATTTTCACCAGTTGTTGATTTCTGCAGCGGTCTCCTTCTGCTGCAAAAGGAAGCCTCCTTGATGAGGGGGTGGGAGAGAACTGTACTTATCTGCAGGTACGGGATAGACATTTAGAACGCCATGACCCAACCAGCCACAGGGAGCTCACTAGATTTTCAGTAGCAGGGATGACTTCCTTCTCACCGAGTGGGGCTTACGTCACGAGACGTAAGTGCCAGGACTGCACCTTTTTGTCATGCTGGTAATTATGGTTTTTAGGCATCACCGGTCAGACAGGGCTATGGTTGCCTTTCTCTCTCGGCAGCCTGCATAGCATCTTTGGATAGGTGAGAACTAGTACTGGAATGAGGCTTCCAGGTCAGTCCTAACTGGATTCCTAAGTCCTGTGTCTGGAGTGTGTGGTGGCAGCAGCAACGGGTCTTAACTTCCAATTCCTGGGAGGAAACCAAAGACAACGGCAATATCCATATATTATTGTGGGAATCTCTTCAACTATCCTGCCAAACAGCTCAAAGGGAGGTGTTTCATGGCTGTCACTGAAGGTTTTGTTAGTCTATGGTTCTTGGGGAAGTATTTTCAGACCTAGTGCCATAATTTATATATATATATATATATATATATATATATATATATATATATATAT